AATGTTCTATTTCCGAAATAAAGGGGCTGTACGGGTGGTCTGAATCACCCTGTATATTCTGCATATTAAATCCAGTTTTGATCATCAATTCGTGTTTCAAGACCTTCATGATAGAGTTTTAATTTATATTTTAAATTATTTCGTCCTTTAACCTGTGCATATATTTCAATATATATTTTATGTATTACATTCTGATTATTTAAAAATTGTCGTACGCGGCTGATAAAATTATAAATGTTAGATTTCTATCCTGAATTCTGACACAAACTGCACATTATTTTCGTGCATAAAACAATGTGTATAGGTATTTGAAAAGAGCTATTTAAAAAGTTGTTTCCCATTTTGTATTAAATTCGATACGGAAATGATGTGTCTACTCATAATATGAAAACACATTTAAATGAATGTGTTCCTCGTGAATAAAAAATGAGCCTGTAAATCGCGCGCTTGAATAATGTAAATATCGACACTTAAAAATAGTAACAAAGTGCAGCATGCATTTAGCATAATGTTATCGGAGCGAGCGATGAAATCGTGACAAAAGAGCGGCGGGATATTGTCATCGGGAATGACATCGCGTTTAATGAAATTGAAGGCTCGCTCGCCGATGTCTCGTTTCGGTTGCATCGCCGAGGAAACGAGCGCATAATTGATCCGCGGCGCGTCCGATAGGCGCGAATGCGCGACTTACATTGTAAACGGCTCCGTACGGTGTCTAAGGGATAAAAGGCTGCCATCGCGACGACGCTACCCTGAAATGTCGAAATGTCAGAGTTATCCTACGGCGATGGGGTAACACGTGTAAGATTTCCGACGTGCAAGGTATATACACTCACCGCTGCACCGGATGCCGCGTGCACCAACGTGTCGTACGTGAAGATGCTTCTATTGTTTCTGCCCATTTTTCTTTTTCTTTTTTTTTACGTGTTCTCGCCGCGCGCTGTTGAATGATCTCGCGAACTGTGCGAAACAGTAGCAAGGGACTCGCTATTTCAAGAAACAGGTAGCAATGTCGCGGGGTAACGCGACGACTCAAATTGCAACGACACGTCACCGTGTATTATCGTGATCGATCCGGTGGCGCTTGTAAAACATTCTCCCGCGATGCGACACTCCTGGAAAGAAAAGTACACCGGATGGATTGAAATACATCGAGAGGAAGAAAAAGTCTTCAGGGGCTGTATTCCGTACACGGTTACCGACGACCATCGATATCGTTAACGACGTTTGCGCAGCTTTTTTTACACGATAGAAAAGCTGCGCAAACGTCGTTAACGATATCGATGGTCGTCGGTAATCGTGTACGTAATAGAGGCTCTGGACTTGAATTCCTAAATCTAAGGAAATTGTTAAAAAAATTTATCTGATAAAAATTATTTAGCTGGACGTAAAATGAAGAGCTATTAATTTTAATAGCTAATACAAGAATTGTAACATTTCAAGAGATCGGCTTCATTTTCTATATATATATATATATTGCTTTTCGCAAGAACTTGACCAAGAAAGATATTAGAGAGGCGTTCGGCAATTCTTCAATTATTTTTATTTAATCCCTTCATCTATTTCCAACGAAATCAATTCCTCCTTTCAAAAGTTACGAATATCTGATTCTAAACAATGAACGCTTTAATCTATTAATTTTTCCGGGCACGAAACGAATATTTTCATCATAGTTACCTCACGGAGTTGGTGTATTTGACACAAATATTATACAAGTAGAGTCATCTCTAGTTGTCCTTCGCACTTTACACGATTACGTTTATCTTGAAGTTATTCCGTAAAATTTTGACGTCTCTGGAGTCGCGGGAGATGCTCTCGATTGCGTATACCAGGGAAAGGGAGCGCTTATCTGCCGCGCGAGCGCTCGCTTCGCGATGAATCAACGTACTGTCGTGTGTAATTCCGTGGCAACGGCACTTATATAAGAGGAAGACCATGACACGCGCGTACTCGGCGCTCACGGCCTGGCCTTCGCGGCTCGCGACTGCCTGCGTTCCGAACGTCGCTTATCTCCAGGCAAAAAAATGGAAACGATATTATCGGTTGCGCGGCCACACCACCTCTACGTTCCGCTGTTTCACTCACTGTTTTGACGCGCACCCGAGCGACCGCCGATGTATCTCGACGCGGTCAGCAGGCGGCATGTAATGGCCAACGCACGCTTGCGCTCTCGTGGCGCGTGTCTAGGAGCGGAGAGGTCGATGTGGGTAGCGGCGGTACATGCGCACTCACGGGAGAGGGTGATTGCCGGTGGTTTAGCAATTCGATCCCTCTGCGCCTCGAAACGGGGGAAAAGGGTCAAACGAGATCTCGGAACACGGAAATTGCGCGAAAATACGCGACTGCCTTTTCGCGAGACGCGCGACGCTCCGTTTCAACGCTGGAATGCTCGGGATTTTAGCATTTCTTATGTAATTCAAAGTTACGACGTACGTACGTTGAAAAATCTTTTGACGGACAAAGGCAAAGAGATCAAACGGAAATTGCGCGGAGACGCGTTATTTGCTGAAAGCGCGACGCTTTGTGTCTCAGATATTAATTTCAGATCTCGCGCTTTCGCGTTAAGATCGTGCTGTACGCTGGGGTATTTAAAAATTTCAAACCAGTCAAACGCTATTTTGTAAAACATGAAGATTACGTAGCGCACCTTTTTACACGCGATAATTCATGCTTCAGAGACGCGTATTATTTCCTTATATCTTATCACTGATGTTTGTATAAATTTCGTATAATTATTCCGCTATTAACAATTATTTTAACAAACAGAGAAGTGTATTAATATGTACAAACATTAGTTATGCTTAGTCGTATTAGCAATTATCATTGGCAACTAATTAATAATTAATAGTACGCGTCATATTGCGTATACTTATTACAATAACGAACAAACTTCTTATCGTTCCCACGCTTCTTCACTTTTTAATATTTTCCGTATCCCCCCCCCCTTGTTTAAAAATGCTTGGTAAAGATTACAAGTTTTCGCGTCTAAGTAATGCTTTCAACTATTCTAATATCGGGTTGTTCCGCAATAACAGTCCTCTGAGAAAAACGACGCCGCGCGCGTATAAACACGGGATAAAATTTTTAAATCAATATCGTCTTAACAACGCACGTTGCAAAGATGCAAATTGTGTGACGTATAGAGACCGTCGGTGTGTCGCGCACCGTCCGGAATACTCCAAGTTCTCGTCAGAGTTTAATTAAACATTCCACGACAGCGGAATGCGCGCGTATAGTGCATTTACGCCCTTCTCCTAAACCGAAACCGCCGTCGACGTGTGTCGTGGCGGATGGCTCTTTTTCGGAAATCTCGCGAGCCACGAATCGTTTTTCAAAACGTAAACCGTGGACGGCAGAGGTTTAATAGCCGTCTTGGATCCTTCACCGGGAGTCTCCCGCGAGAAATTTTCATATAATGCACGCTGTCAGTAAAATTAATATTTATACGCTATTCTTGTCCGCTTATTCTCCTCGAGAATCAGGTTAGATGAAACTGTTTGTTGAAGCAAATCGTGAAATACAGCAAGAGAAGTAGATGAATAAAATAAAATTAAATATATATATGTGTGTGTGTGTGTGAACTTTAAAGTTCAGTTTGTTTGCTTTGCCGAAGAGTTAATTTTCTTGCGAAATAGCGTTACTATTCATCACAAGGATTATAATTAATCGCAATTCTCGTATCGCGAAATAGTTACTTTTCAAAGTGTATAAATTCAAGTATAAAAGTGTTTCCAAGAAATTGATGTAACACAAAGTATGTTAATATTAAAAAGTTTGTTAAACTCCTTAAGAGGTAAATAACAATATCCTGAGCAAAATATAAGTTGTCAAGTCTTTTATCAAGCTAAAAGAAGATCCTGGCGTACCTTGACGCCGTATTTTTAACACGGCTACCTCGGGTATATCTATTTCTGTGCGTCGCCGCTTTCAATCGAACGGCGAAACTCATTCACGTCTCTTTGTTTCAATTTTATTGAACTCAAACTTGTATTAGCTTTCGGGCAACAAAAAGGTTTTCTAGGGCTTTCAATATCATTGAATAACACGTATCGATTCTTTCTTATTGAAAAAAAAAGCGGGAGAAACGCGAAAGGTCAATGTTAATTGCGAAAATGCATTTCCGAGTGTCAGTCCCGTCGTTTAAACATCACGTCAATTAAGGTGGCTCCTGCATAAACCGACCAAAAGTAGAAAAAATAGAAATTTAAGTGTAATATGTTGTAGTTGTAAGTTTTATCCAAGGGGGAAACCGCTGACCAAAATCTTGTACAACCAATGCCCACTAATGCCCGGTGGGCATTGCTTTATCTTATTTTATCTTATTTATTATGTTTTATCTTACTTTATCTTATTTTATCTTTATACACAGTAAAAAATCGTGTGTTGAAATGTTAAAATGTTACCAAGACTTGATTATTATTTCAATGTAAAATTAACATAAGACAGATATGTTGTTATTTTTGCAACATTCTTATGTGTTACATTTATGTTAACATAATAACTTGACACTTTATGTACGTCATTAAAAAATTGAATATCATTTCGAGTTCTTATAGGGCTTATGGGCCGATCGCTCGCGGAAGCACTTTGAGGGTTAATATTATTTTATAGAAAAGGTAGATGTTAACAAAAAACGAGATAAACGTAATAAATGTCACAAGAATTCAAATGTGCTATTAAATATACGAGGTCACCGGCCTCTGCAAGCAAATACTTACTAGTAAAGTCAAAAGATACAATGTTTTGAGGAAAGACAGCTCTTTGAGACTTGACACCGTCACATACTTTTAAATATGTATTTAAATGTGCATGTATAACCTAGGATATCAATGCACTTGATCAATGATGCATTAAGTGATATTTTTTTACGAAAAAAAGTCATATAAATTTACAAAAGTCAAAGGGGCCCCACAAAAGCATCCATACTAACCGCTTTGTCGTGCAGGAGCCACCTTAAGTGTCGATTAAATGTCAAAAATAAACATTAATGGAATATTTAGTACGTTTTCGTAACAAGTTTTGCTATTTTGCCGGCACTGAGAAAAAACACCGTTGAGTCAAGGGAATATTTGATTCAAACTACATGGTGCAGTCACGGGCTGTCAAACAAATATTTGTTAATTCGCGTAAACATTTGTTAATTAAAAAAATATATATTTGAATAAATTGTGTGTGTTTAATCGAAAAACATATATATTTGAATTAAAGGAATACTGTTAACTAAACTTATTTAGTAATATCAACAATTTTTTCTCTCAGTGTGTAATCGCGATCGAAGGTGCTCTCGTTGAAATTACCTCAACGAGGTTTTTCGAAAATCTAATGGCCACGCGCATAGGTCCCTATCGCATTCATCTCGTTATCACGACTATTTCTATCCCGCCATATCGAAGCGCGATTAATATCTGAGAAAATTCGACTAATGAGTTATCGATCAAACCAATAAGATAGAGCACTCCGCCGGGGGGGGGGGGTGATAATCGGCAAATCGTAGCCCGCGGCGTTAATGACGGAAATCTGGTTTAAGTCAATTTCTCGCCCGGGGCGATCGGAGCGAGCGGCCTCTCGCTCCGCGCGCACCAAAATGTCAAATGCGGGGCGGTGCGAAAACGTTTCGGGACCGCGGGTATTTCGATATCCGCCGTGTTGTCGGGAAAGTACGGGTGTAAGTACGGTGCAGAGAATCGTGCGAGGACGTGGAGAAAATGTCATTTATTCGATACAAAATGCGAACATGATTGTGCACATGTCGCGCGACTAACCAGTTTTCTTCTTTTGCTTATCTTTACCACCTGCGGCACGTGCGACTCTGCCGAGCGAAGCCTCGCGCTTGATTTTTTTTTCGGTCAGAATCGACTTACGGGCTGCCTAATTGGTCAAATTGATTGTACCTTAGAGAGAACTATAGCCGAGCCTATGGGAAGAGAAAGAATGCTTATCCACATCTCGAGTACTCTGTCTCTCTCTCACACTCACACACACACATACATACACACGCGCGCACGCACAGAGAGATCTACGTGCCTATAATATTTTATCGTTCGAGATCTATGATCCGGTAGGTAGGAAAAGTATATCTCTGTAAACTAAGACGGATAAGTTTCAGAAAATTTCAACGAGATCTTATTCGTTGAAGTAGCGTCCACTTGTCGGATAAGTATACCTACCTCTCTTGTTCGTCGCGCAATTTCGCAGGAGGTAAGCTAAAAAAAAATTGCGTAGAATATTCGCAAATAAAGCCCCTTGTTGTTACCATCGGGCACGGAGAGCTCCCGGATTTATAAATCTGCATACATGTATTTTTTAACCTGATTACAATTTAAATAATATGCATGCGCAATCTGATGATGCGATAATTTTGCGCGCGCCCGCCCGATGCATTTCAACAAGTTCCGAGATGCGTATAGGAAAGGAGGTCGAGATACGGAAGTATCGATTGATTTTGTACGCATGTGGCGTGTAACGCGAGTCTCGTCGTTAACAATGCGGCATCTCGTTGGTCGCGCGCGCGCGCGTCGAAAGCGGGCAAACCGCCGTACGAGACTGGACGCGAGATATGAAAGTAACGAGTTAAATTCGCGGACTATTTATCCCTAACAAAAGTCGATATAATAATACACTTATGCACACGCGGAGAGATTTCAGCGGAAGGAACGACGGTCTACGCGGTCAAATATTCGTTCCTCGTATCAAGTGCTATTAATGGAATTACAACGCTCTAGATCTCATGCGGAAGTATAAACGTCGCTCCTTCGCGTGTCGGAGCTCGAGTAAGGCTACGATGGGCGCAGTTAACTAATCCGGTAAAAAGCTTTCTCACCGCGTTTCGCAATCCCCCTCATTACCGACACAACGCTGACACTTGTCGACCTCTCACCGATCGCGCAAATTCATCTATTCCCCGCCGGGAGGATTCTTTGCCGCGAATAATTTCGATAAAAATTTGTACCTAATAAGAGAGGAATAACACGCTCCCTTTCGTGCAACGCGATCATCTCGCCGCTATCGGAGAGCCCTCCGATCGAATGTCAAACGATCTCTCGTCCGTGTTGCTCGAGGTATCGATTTCCCGTTTAACGTTTGATCGACAACGAATAATTAACGTAACGGCTTCCCCCCACCCCCCACCCCCTTCCTATCTCTATCTTTCTCTCTTTTTCTCCCGCTCGGTCACATCTTAAGTTAATTATGCGTGTTACCTTCGGGACATTACGCTAAAGCTATATTTCATTAATTAATTAAGGCGAGTAGCGTGGTCGGTTTAAATATGATTTCCCCTTGGCGATCTTCGTTCGCGAGGGTTTGCTTTCGCACTTGCAGTGAAGTCTGACAATTGTAAACCTGTGAAAGTTCCGCGTGATTTACGGTATTGCGTAAGGTTTCCGCTGGACAAATTTAGTTATCTCTCTGTTTTTCTCGTTTCGCTGCAAGTGACGCGTATTCATGGAGAAAGATTATATTTTATTAAAGATTTGAAATAATAATACTAAGAGCCAATAATATGAGTTAGTACAAGCGAAAAGGGTAGAGCACCTCGCGCGCAACGACCGTAGTAAAATGACGGGGGACAAAGATGCGAATGTTACGATAAGTAACGATACTCGTTTCCGAAGATCGCTCTGAAACGCGTTATCATATTTCTAGAGATTTGTCCGCGTGCGTGAGAACCGCCTTGCAATATCACTGTATCGAGCAGGCCTTCCTGGACTCCGTTCTTCCTGTTCTAAGCGTGATCCTGGATCCTGGCGTATTGTTCTCGTTCCCAGCCGCGAGCGAACACGTTTTCGTCCGCATGATCATTAAGTCCGTCCTAATGCTGGGACGGCGCACGTTCGGCGCCACGACGCCGCAAGCGTCGCTCAGTCGGCGTTTTATACTGAGGGTGGCTTTGTGTCGCGGCTGGAAAACAAAAGCGTCGCTCTTTTAGGCTTTTTCAGCCACGTCCCTCGATATCGCGAGAGGTAATCCCCCCCCGTTTAATCGATCGCGATGCGACTCCGGGCGAGCAGCATCGTGTCGCTCCACTCTTTGTCAGCGCTAATCGAATATCCCGCGATCGGATTTCAATTACAGAAACGGTTGATTAATCTCGAGAAAGTTACGTCGTACGACGAATTACTTGGCGCCGTATTGAACGTTCGTTACGTACCTGCGACGGCGGCAACATGGTCGGCGAGCCGAAGGTGAGCGGTACTTTTCTATGATGATTCGGTGCCATCTCCAGAGGTAGACCGGCCACTACGAATAACTGATAAAAAAGTTCGTCCACGTGATAGTTCCGTTTCGCGGAGACCTCCACGAAGATGCAGCACTCGTCCTGACTCACGCAATATTGCTCGGCCTCCTCCACCGTGACCGTTCTGCAACGAGGGCGGGTGACTTGTCAGTAAATAAAATCATTACGCGACGATAAGGCCACGAGCCACTCGGAGGGGGGGACAGAGGCCAGGTTCGAGAAACTGTAGACGTACTTAACATCCTTATCACACTTGTTCCCCACGATGACCATAGGGACCTTCAGACTGTAGTGAGCCCTTCTGCTCTTCGTGGCACTTTGGGTCGCGCTCACTTTCGTCTCGAGAATCGCCTCTCTCAGCCTGATGGCCTCTTCGAAGGACTCCCGGCAGTCCATGCTGAACACCACGACGAAGAGGTCCCCTGCGAAATCGGTTATCGTGTCGAGTCTGGCCCGAACTGGTCGTTCGTTCGATCGCGCGCGGCGCGAGTATTTATCCTCAAAACGCTCGATTGTCAACGTTACGGTTGAATGGGTGTATACGCGAATTGTACATTTTCTCAGGCTGGTTCACGCGGTGCTTTTTCCGCGGCACGTGCGCCAACGCGATTTTGAATTTTCGACCCTCTCTCGCGCGCCCTATTATGCGACGCAGGCTGCAATTATCGCGAACGGAAGTCGCTACACGTCATTGCATACGGGCTAATTATAACGGTCACGCGAGTCACATGCGTGACACGCGTGTACGTTACGGATTATGAATATTTATCCTGACGGATTTATTATTTCCACGGTAGAGGCGCGGCCACCGTGTATATTTATATATAAATCCACTCTGGCGACGACAGTGGCCGGTAATGATTCCCGGTCTTGTGTCTATGAGCGCGCTGTTACCGCTTGTTTCCGACAAAAACGCACCGCGAACAAAGGGGCGAGTAGGATCAACTGGCTGTTCTCGTGGACGGACAAAAAGCTCGTCCAATGGGGAAACTCGACGAGTCGAGCGTATAGAACATAAGCTCGGTAATAACGTCGCTTTGCCAACACGCCGCTTCACTTGCTTTTATTATCGCGTATCCTCTCGCTGAAAGATGCCGCCAAGTGTCGCATATAATAATAACAACGTTACCGTTAACTGTGCGTTAATGTATAAAGTCTAAAAAGGCCACGTCATTCTCGTTTTGCCACCAGGAATTTATCAATATTAACATATTATTATTGCGAGTTTAGTAATTATAATTACTAATTAACAATGTATAATAATTATACATTATTGTACGCCATTAATCATTTCCACTTTTATTTTTCTTACAAACTCTGCGAGGCGCCGCAGAATATACGTATTAAATATCCCTGTAATTATTGGCCTGACGACACAAAAAGATAATGTCAAGTCTTGCGTGTAAACTCCGCGACTTCTCCCTTTCTATCACGATACCTCTATATTACATAGTTGAAACGCGAAGCCGCTGGTATACACACAATTAAATACAGCGAATCGAGTTTAACTTGACGAGATATCTCCGCGACGTGCTCGTCCTAAAACGTAATAAATAAAATTAATTTTCCCCCCCTCGCAAATACAATTTCCAAATTTCAAAGACGATCCATTCGGTTGATTCGCCTAATTCATTTAGTTCCACCCCGTCCGCCGTGTCCGTGTATCGCCGTGGAACTTTCTCGGAGATCCGACCTCCATATTTCGAAAATCTTGTCGCTTCGTGGCTACCACATGGAGCGTCGCGAGACATCTTATTCCCGCGAAACACGCCAAGCAGGCCCCGATATTGTCCTCGCCGCGAGATGAAAATATATGTATGTCAGCCATTATGCGGCAAAGTTCGTGTCTTTGGTGTCGAAAGGAATTCTCTCTCTTCTCGCAACAGCCGGAGCCCCGTCCGGAGGCTCATTGTCTTCGAATCGGGGTCATATCGCGCTCCTCCGTATTCGAGCGTATTCCGACAACGGATTCGCGACTCGCGGAAACCTTTTTCACGCTCGCAACGGGTGAGCTCCGCCTTAAGCGAGGCGAAAAAGCGACGACGTCTCTCGCAATGGGTTATTTGCAATTATATCGCAACTGTATCGGACACATCTGTAACTATACATCGCGCGGGATGCGCGAAGGAAAGCCAAGGGGGTAACCACTAGCCAAAATGTCCCACCGATTACGCGATTTCATCGAATTTCGTACGATTTCATCCGATTACAAACAAGCTCATCTAACTGCAAATTATTTTCTTATATGCACGTTTAAAAATATGTAACGTTGTTAAACCTCAAAGAGCTGTTAGATTTTCTCAAAATATATTTTCTTATTTCACTAAAGTTTTTGCCTGTAGAGGTAATTTCAGCTAAGATTGTAGTATTCGGTCACGTGTTTCCTTGCTTCCCACTTTTCCCACTAGTCTAACCGTGGTCTTAACGAAAAGTAATTTTGTATTTGTGTTTACTGTTTATTTTTCCAAATTTGCGTTCAAAGGTGTATCAACGTTTCAACTCGCTGTTGTTCTAGCAGCAACTACTTCAGTCTTATTATGAAAAGAATACGCACTTATACGCAGTTGGAAAATCTGTGTTTTCTTGTTAAAAAAATGCCGGTTAAAATTTTTGTGTTAATTGACCTCAAATGTAAAATTATTAAAATAACTGAAAAGAAATGTTAAAACAACACACTGTGTATTTATTTTATAATCTGACACAATACACATGTTCTATTTTATTAGTAACAAAATTTATCTGTTAAAATTTACAGAATAAAATGTTGATTTTATTCTGTACAACATAAGCGAGAGTGATTTCGAACCGTCATTTGACTTATTACATCTATAAAATGTAAAACTTACATTTTTAAAAATTCATTTTGTCAATAGAATATGTTACTTTCACACAAAATTTATTTCAAATTATTTTGAGATTTGCATTTATTTTGTGTTAAAATATTAACAGAGTATTAGTTTGATTATTTAACATACCCATATTATGTTAAATTAACACAAAAATTGTGTGGACCGTTTGGGACATGTGATATCCGTTAAATTTAACACAAATTTTTCAACCGTGTAGGTGTAAAGTATGATATATATTTGGATATTCACTAAAAAAAGTAAATTTTTTTGGAAAATAAAAAGGAGCTGAGAAAATGTTGAAATTTTATGTTTATTGTCTAACAAGTGAAGAAACTTGAAAATGAAGCCAAAACGATTACACGGGGATTTCGTAAGGATTTCAGAATGATTTCGGAGACACTGTCCCACGATTACATGAAGTGGTTACCCCCTTGAGGAAAGCTCCGGGTGAGCGACGGCGTCGATAAAAAGAAAAAAGCGCGTGATGGATCTTTGTTACGCGCGCAAATATCTATGCGCGAAATGTTTTCGGCAATCGGCCGATCTGTGAATTATTAAGAGATCTCGGTGGAGCGTGGAGAAAAATGCGGGCGGGTAACGTGGGGTCGTGACTCGTTTTGCGGAATACGCGGAATTTTCGACGGCACGAGCGTCGGACGGAATACAAAACTAAACACGCCGCGATGAAATTCCCATCGACGGTGGCTCTCTTGATTTCCGCACACGCGGATGGCAATTTAAAAATTCTTCGGATTTACGTGTCTAATTTTACCGCGCCCTCCTACGTGAGGTCAACCATACTGGCAACATGCGACGATCCATCGCCGTTTCCAGGCGCATGTAGTGCAATAACTGAGAGGCGAGTATCGGTTCTGTCCGATGCAATTTGTGCAACTCCGCTAAAAACAGCGAATCGGGGGCTGGCCAGGCTCCGAGATCAAACTGCTGCTACCAAAACTTTCGGATCGCGCAAATTTCGAGGAGTGTTATTAAAAAAATTTTTTTACAGTTATAAAATTATAGTATTGTCTTTTCCGGCCGTACAATATTTTTACCGTGTTTTCGGCAAAATTGTTATAACAATCTTGTTGTAAAATCAAATGGGCCAGGTAACTGCACCTTTAATTGACGCACTTGTCGAATTTTTAAAGGGCAGACTCGACTCTTCGTCCCTCGAGCGTGTCGCGCTGTATATTGTAGTAATTTACAATTGGTCTTGCCAGATGGTGTCGTTTTGGGATTTGCGTACTATGCATAGATCATAACTTGAATTACGTTCCGCGTCGGTCGACGTGACGTTTATATGTATATGTCCGAGCGTAAATATGTATTTTCAGTCGGGAGGGCCCGCGACCTCCATCTTGACAACCGCGATACTGACGCAATTGTCGCGCATCCGACAGCATGGTACCCGATATCAGGTTATCGGGTACAGGTGGCAACGCGACATGACGAGGTACAAGGGAGATCTACGTGCAAAATCAGCGGAGCACAAACGGCCTCGTGTAGCCGCAGGGGCAAGGCTACCGGGTGGCGAAGAAAAGGGAAAGTAGACAAAATTGAGTTATCGAGCGCGAACGTACCCCCCGTCGTACGTTTCCCCACGTCTTCACAAACACAACACCCTTCGATACCGTCACTCGGCCACTTATATCGCCGTCTCGCCTCTCGTTCCTCGGTTCCCTCCTTGAATATCTCATTTTCATTTAACACGTTGAGTATCGTGACGGAGATGGGCCGTTGCTGCCACTGTCTCTCTATTCTCTAATATACAGATTAAATCAACCGCACTTGAGGGGATTATGTGTACCGTATAGAATAGACAGTCCCAATTAGACAAAGTAACATTGAAGCCTATCACTGACACAGTTTATATTATATCATTAGCTAAATGAGAAAACTAGAACATAGTCGAGGAACGAAGGAAGACATTATCGCTTGAAATCGAGGGGGAAACCGCTGAGGGTGTTGTGGTGTGCAAATTTGCGGCATTGCTGGGCATTACTAGGCGTTTTTGGGCATTAGACCTTGCTGGGGCATTATAAAGATATATACGATAAAATGAGATAAAGTAATGCCCACTGGGCATACATTAGTGTGCATTGGTGTACAAGATTTTGGTCAGCGATTTCCCCCTCGCTTGAAATAATTTAGATTATCTGATCTTTTAATAAGACACTTTTAACAAAACGAAAAAGAAATAGATGAGATAAACTATTGAAGTAGCTACCATGTATCTGTATCTGCGGAGTCAATTTCGCGCTCTGATCGAAACACCTATCAAAAATCGGAAATTTTTACTGCGGCGTTAGATACGTAATTGTGCAATATTAATTGAAACCACATATGATACTCGTGTAACTTCATATTTGAACTTCTGACTGAAATTCTGGCAACAGTCGACACTCACCCCGGGCAGTTCTCCTTCGAACTTTTCTCATGTGCAGGACTATCGCAGTGAACTATCGTATTGTTGAGGATATGAGATTTCGCCGAGAGTTGCGAGACTTGCCAGGCACGAATCCGACAACAGAAATATGCTCGGTACGATTCTCTGCATAATATCGGTATAGTTCTAGGCATTTTTACGCGAAGAACCAAAGTTTCCTCGGCCGTCGAGGGAGATATTGGGACGAAAGTACGTTGTTAATCTTTAGATGAACGTCGTCTCGTACATAACCGCGTTTTCTCGAACGCTTAAAGATTTACGAAACTACATTCATCGCAAAAAGCATCTTTTTATAACTCTCTTTTTTTTTCCATCTACCGCAGTCTGGCGTATTCTCATACAAAATGCATCGCGGCGCATTTGCAACACGTCACTCGCTAACGTGCAATTTTTTATCTGCTCATACAAGAGTCAAATAGCCATTAATTTTTCTCCAACCAATTTTCGCCGCGATAAAAGCGGGATGTCATTGCCGGGAATTAAATTTTCATATTCAGAGGAAATGCGCGCGAATTATTTTCCGGCGTCTCGAATGCGGTGTCTACTTGCAACGGAGCGGCGCATTTCTCCGGGGAGGTAAGCCGATGGACTTACCCGTCAGGAAAGACAATCGTCGCATCGCCGGAAACGGATGGTTTCCGCTGGTATCTAGAAGATCAAGCTGATGAATCTCGCCCCTGATCCTATAAAGTTTCCTGTGAAAGTCTTCTATCGTCGGCGTGTAGCTCTCCTCGAATTTGTTGAACAGAAATCTGAAACGTGAACGGCGCAAATTTTATCCGCATGGACGCTTCGTTATTTTGGTCTTCGCGGTTTTTTCTCTCTCTTTCACCCGCTATCTTTTGAACTTCGGATTTCAACTCCGTTTCCGGAGAATTTTGTTCGCGTGGTCGATTGCTCGAGTGGAATTTGATAATTTTATGATTCCACGTCTCCTGGACGATTTCAAACTGGCTTGAAAAAGCGTTTTTAAATTTAATTATGTATTCTCCGAAACAGATACGGGCCCGACGAACGGGGATGGTAAACACGGGATTAATCGTAGAGTATTTGAAGAGCCCACGTTTGTGGACGAGAGAATAAGCACCTGTCTCGATTTTTAAAAATCGCTCGTTAGCGACGACTACCTACGCGCGTATGAACGAAAAATTCGCTCAGGGTGCGGGGGTCGCGTAATTGCGGTCAATTTAGGATGGTCGACATAACTTCGAACCTGGCCGAGCTGCGAATTTTCGACATTTCGCGAAACCGCTACGTTAATCGACGCGGGCAATATCAGCGCAGCGGCGAGGGATTTTATCGTCTCCTTAATAACTCGCGGTCACTCCCTGATTTAATTCGGCGATGTGACAAGAAATACGATTAGGCTGTAATTTTAACAGATCGATTCAATTCGGGAGGGATTACGCTTTGTTCCCGGGAACATGTGGCGGCATAGTTTTTCGATACCCTATCGCGCAGTGGCAGCGGTCAACCAATAACAATAGAAAACAATAATGCGACACGTAGTGGCGGGCTGGCAGTGCGGTTCAAAGATTAATTGAATGCCATTGTTTTGCGCTATTAGTAATCGATGTGAAAGAGAGCACGACGAACAGAATTTAGGAGACCGAGAACGGACGAGGTGGGCAGAATATTGTTGCACAGAGCAGAGAGAAGGTGTTGGACCGGTCCAGTTCTAACGGGAAACGTTGAGCCCAAATAAGAGTTACAGATAAATAAGCGAAATACGAAAAATGCCCTCTTCTATACCTGTGTGCAATTAAATTTAGGACGCATACGTAACTAAATTTAGGAAATATAAAGAAATCGTGTAACATCGCGTATTTACAAAATTGCAATTAAAAAGCATAACAGAAAATAAGACGTAAGATCGATGAGTGATGATAAATAATGGGAGCAAAGGTGTTTCGGGGGTGAATACCGCGCAGTCTGCCGACTTGGGGCGTTTACCGTGCTACAATGGCGGTCTTTCCGACCCGGGCACTGCCGAGCATGACGAGACGATAGCAGTTGCGCGGCGGCGGTTTGCAGGCGTCCTCCTGCGACGAGGTGGACGCGGGACTCGGGCTGACGGGCATAGCGAGCATTCCATCCTCCGGGCCCGGGGGACCCTGACCCTCGACCAGCTCGGGCTCCGCTTGCGCTCCTCGCCGACCGCGAGCGTTGAGCCGATGCTCGGCGGGCTCGTCGGTTGCACTTCCGCTTCGGCAGAGCCTCTGCACGCAGCACAGAAGTCGGCCGCACGCCTCCAGCTACGGAGAACGAGAATTACACGTCCGCAAATGCAACATTAGCCCTTAATCCCGTAGCACACTTTTGCCACGACCCTCTCGGGACGCGTCTGTCTGCAACTTGTGTAATGTCAAAGTTCCCACATTCCCATTCAATTAACCAAAATGAGAAGGACTCTGGCGCGGACATATCCGCTGACTTCTATGTACTATCTAGATTGCTACCCGCGAGCTGAAAAGTGAGGCAAGAGTTCCGCCATGTCTTGTTAGGTAAATAAAGTAGTATGTGTGCATCGGTCTATCAGTGACACACCGGCGGAACTCTTGCCTAGCTTTTCAGCTCGATGGTAGCGGTCCAGTAGTATATAGAAGTCTGTGGAAATATCGCCGCACAAAAATATTGCCTTTCGCCACTCTGAATTTGTTTTTAAATTGCACATAAAGTTTGGAATATCTTTTTTGCAAATATAATACAAACGTTAACTAACAGTGATGTGAAAAAAAAACATTTCGGCTATAGGAGAATTAGTGTTGCTCGCGTGTCTGCTCTTCAATATAAATCCCGGCAGGTCATTTACATTTCATACGGAGTTTCGATGGGGGTTGCATCTCTCGCGAGACTGCGTCGAATTTCGGAAAGCCCGTCGATTTCGCCTATATTTGTAAATTTAATAAAGCGTCACACGAGTCTTCGTGCGTACTTCGCGCAACGAACAGTATCTTCGGCATTTTCGAGCTTGAGTTTTTCGATAAATAAGAAGATGGCAACCATGTCCAGACATGCAGACTACGCCGTATTCCCAAGAAATCGCAAAGTGCAGGAAGAATGGGATATTCGAGATCCAAGCATGAACGCGCATAGAACACGAATCCCGATTGGATTTTCTTGAATTGATTCGTGGCGGAAGACTTCGGCAAAAATACTTTTATTAAAGCGGCGAGGGAGAATAAAGAGAGGAGGCGAATGCACCAGACACATTTCAGTGTGCGAGCACTCTTGAATATTTCCCTACCGCTTTCTGTCCCGACGTTAGAACATCTGGAAGTAGCGTGCAACAACAATGACGGAGAAAATTTACCTTCCCGGAGATTACGGGGATGCTGGAGTGATTCTGCACTTTTGGCACCTTTTGCTCCTAGAACAGCCAATTCGCGAAAACATTTGTATAATATACAAATTATGTGGCTTTTCTGTACAGACCGACAGCGTCCCACTATTCAGATTAAGTAAAAATCTATTCACTCGAACTTATTCGAGTGAGTAGATTTTTTGTTAGGCTTCCAAACCTAATTTCAATGATACCATGCTGTTCTCTGATTTAGTCAGAATGAAACAAATGTTTTCACGAATTGACAGTTCTAGGAGCAAAGGTACCAAAGGTGTAGAACTCCAACATCCCCTTAAGAGAATACGAAACGCGCGACCGTAAATCACGGTGCTGTCGACATTTATATTTTTTTCAATACAATTTTTACACTTGTGCAATTCCCGACAAGTCCCCGTTGAATGTTGCTCACACATATTTCGTATCATATATTTTATGAAGTTTAACGAGAATGCTTGTTGTATTGACGAAAAAGCTTTAAGGGGAACGCACTAAATAAACGCGGGGAGCTTGGTGCGGCAGAATATAGGTATCATGGGAATTGGAGGGTACAGGTTTCTCAAATACGTTCAGGAATATTTTAAGATAAATTTGAAACGCTTTGCACATCCTAGCATGCTCGCTGCATCATACGCGGAAAATACGCAGGTGTCCCGTGTAACTTATTTAATTGAAAAATATTTGCCTCCGTCTACGTCGTGTTTTTTTTATTTAAATGGTTGTGTAATAATAATAAAACGCAGATTGAGAGAAAAAGACTGCGTACGTCATATCTTTATAATCCATTTTTTTCATTAAAACGCAATACAAGAGGTCAACATTGTCAAGTGCAGCGGATGCAATTTTGAAAACCATTATAAAACTATGCCATTATAAAGAGAAATACAAACAACATTTTTTCCTGTATTTCCTTAAATCGATGCATATTATTAAAAAAAAAAAGATTTTGCTTTAGGCGAAATCTCTCATTTTTTGAAATTTTAAATTGTTTAACTAAAATATAAATTCTACAGATATTCACTCATTAATTAGAGAGAAGAATAACATCGGATTTAATCTATCGCGTGAGAAAATGTATACATTTGAATATCAAATCTTTTGAATACAATGTTCTCGAACGTCAACGTCAAAAAAGGCTTTATTCACGTTCCAGAAACACGAGTTCCACATACGATAAACGATAACATTCTTCTTCGCGTTCTTCGGAAAGTTTATTCTCCGACTTGGATATTCACAGTCACGATCTGGTCGCAGAAACTGGTAGGATAATAGGATGCGTTATATCCTTACCGTAACGCCGTGCATCTCTAACTTGGTCGCGCTGAATAGAGGACTAATGATTGCAACGAAGCAAGTTCTGAATATCGCTTAACACCGCTTTACGCACGATAGTTAGAGAAGACCTATTAGGGAAGACAGAAACGGTGTTACTTCGGGAATAATAGCAGAGTTACTTGAGTCGTTTTATCTAAGATTTCTCCTCAAAAGAGGCAAAATCAAATGAAGGGCTTCGTATTTATTGAAGACTAAAATTTTAATGCCGCTAAATTTGTAAACACTATATTCTCGTTATAATGATTTTTCGCAAACAATACTCGATAATTCTGTATGTCGGTGTCGGAAGAGTATGGAAACTCATTACTGCGCTGTCGTTAAATATTAATGAATTAATTTGCATTTCTCTTAAAATTTGATATAAGTAAAAAGGACTCGCAAAGCGATGCGGATTGTTAAGCGGGAATCTTTGTGGACACGTTTCGCTGAAAAATACATGAAGCACAAACTTGACGCTCGTCGTTGTTGTTGCTCAGCAAATTTACCTCTGGACAAGGCGACGTGCCGCTTCGTGTACCTCGGTTTCGAGACGATACGCAAGAGGTGAGGCTTTATAAATATTTAAATAGGACACCTGATGCCCGCGTGTCGAGGGTGTGGGCCGCAATTATTAAAGCCTCCATTAAAATACACGTCGCACGCTTTCTTTACCTTCTCTCTTTTCCCCTTTCTTCTTTTCTCTCTCGCTCTCTCTTTCTCTGCCTCTTCAGATACGTAGTTACTCATTTTGAATGAAATTGAACGTAAATTGCGTCCCCTCCTTGCCGTGTCCCACGGCGGTAACTATACGAATCACTTCGATACATTCGTTGTCGTTTAGCAAATGGCGATATAAATCGTACAACCGGTAGAACTCCATTTTATCTTTATCTCGAACCTCGTCCGGGCTTCTATTCGCAGTATTTAGGCCATTAACGCGTCGTTCAACTCTTAAATTTCCGAGCAAGATCGCAATTACTGACCGCAATTGTTTCAGTGTCGAGGGCTATTGTTACCTCGATAATGGTTTATTTCTGTTTCACGCCAGGGAAATGGGGTTACGCTTTTTCGTCGCGCTTTAACTATAAACGCGCGGGCAGTAAAATACTTGGTAGGGTTTTGCGCGCGAATCGTCGAAACCGTTTCCAGCGTCGTGTTTTACTTCCGCGCGAGAGTGTGACGAGAGGGTGTTATACGTCTCGCGATACGTCTCAGTGATATCGACGTTTTCTGTACTTTCATTCGCGTATCTTCTCCTTTTCGCTGTGCAAATGTCTCTCAAAATAAAAGTCGAACGTGACCCTGTTACTATTTTTAGGATTTATGTGAACGGTTTCAGCAAAATCTCGGTTAACTTTAATCTCGGAGATCTACTACATCTTTATTTTCCTCTAGAATTAGATCGAGCACATAAGAAATCAAGATTTATATTTTCCTCGGTTATTTCCGTGCGAAATTCCAGAAAGAAGTTCCGTTAAATTAGAATTTACTTTTCGTTATCACGAATGTTTGCTATTTTTTGTTTTAACAAGCATGCAAGCATTGCATTTCGCCGGAGCGCAAAAGTGTTTGGCGAAAGCGCGAATTATAACGCGCTACGATATTAGACACATGAACATCGCGATGTACGTAACTAAGCTCAAGTGGCGATCTTCGATAATGTTGATTTTCGGTTAAACTCCTCGACCTTTGCTGAAAATAGTGGTGATTCCCCAGGGAAGTAGTAACAGTCTGCTTACAGTCTCGTTATGAATATAACGGTTATGAATACTGCAGATGGTAATAGGTAGCGCTTGATGGCACTAGGGTGGAAAGCACATTAAACTGCGGGGACTATGTAAATGCAGATGTTAGCGCTCGTATCATTATCCCTTATCTACTCCTAATAATTGCCCCGATCGAAGATATACAGATTCCGGCTCCACTTTATCTGATCAACCCGGCACTCTCGTATATTCTTGCGCCAACGACATTAGGAATTTAGTTTGCCGGTAATGCGTGCAGATTTCCATTACGACTTTACTAGAAGAGATCGAATCAAAAGATAACCGCATGCTGTTAGATTCACTATTCGACGATTGCATTAAAAAAACAGGATTTCTACGTCTAATACCAGGTCCTGCTCTGGGAAAAAAAAAGACAGTTAGCAACCCATTTTGGGGCCCACAATTAGTAATCGAATTATTTGGATTGTTCGTAATTCTACTCTGGGAAAAAATTTGACCGTTCTTTTGTAATTAGTTAAGCAACTTAACATTTCGGTTAGTGCCTCTTAAGTGAAAATTATCTTTGCGTTACTGAATATCGACAGAACTAATTGAGAGAATTGATTAGTACACAGTTGGAAAATTTGTGTTTTCTTGTTAAAAAAATGCCGGTTAAAATTTTTGTGTTAAATGTTTAACACGTTCATGTGTTAATTTAACATATTGCTCTTGTGTTAATTGACCTCAAATGTAAAATTATTAAAATAACTGAAAAGAAATGTTAAAACAACACAATGTGTACTTATTTTATAATCTGACACAATACACACGTTCTATTTTATTAGTAACAAGATTTATCTGTTAAAATTTACAGAAGAGAATGTTGATTTTATTCTATATAACA